CTAATTAAAAAAAAAAAAAAAAAGAGTTATAATTACAGACTGATCTCATGACGAGGCTCCTGGCGGCACTGGGGCGATGGACCTTGGATTCCGAAGGGCTTTCTTCCAGCAAACCTGCTATTTATTTGTCACTCAGGAGCAACTGTCCTTCGCGTCTCAAGCTCTTATGGGGCTTTTTTTACCCCTTTCAGGGTGGTGCCTTTGGTGAGCCCGAGCAGGGTTGTGACAGGTTTAGCCTGGCTCCGCGTGAGAGGTCTCACTTCAAACCGCTGGCGCCATCCTCTCAGACTCCCCCACGGCGTGGCCGTGGATGTGGCACCTTGCCCCGTGGCGTGGCCGTGGATGTGGCACCTCTGACGTGCGAGAACAGGAGCGCGTGCCCAGGTTTGGGCTGACAATCCCAGTCTCCGTGGGGGCGTAGAAGAAAGGGCCTATGACACACTCACCTGACGTGCCTTCAAGCAAGGGACAGCCCAAAAGCAGATGACAAAAGCCATCTTCTGTGTCCCGTTGAGCCCACCTGCGGTTTCCTTCAAATTCCTGCCCTGCTTGGCGGGGTTTTTTGGTTGTGTCCTTAGCATTTCTGCTTCCAAGATGAATTTTGACTTCAGGTGTCTCTGGAAGGACCAGCACGGGTCTGGAAGCCACCCAAGGGACTGCAAAAAAGCCACTAAAAAAAAAAAACCCTCTGGTTTCCCAGGACACACTGTGCTTTTCTCTAAAAAGCACTAGGCAGGCTCTGCTCGTGCCTTGAACACGCACATGGGGAATCAGTCACCGCCAATCACACTGGTCTTTTGCTGTTGCCGTTTCATCACGTTCAGACAGAAAAGGAAAAGAGGAAAAAAAGCGTCTTTGCAACAAATTCCAATAAATCCTGCTGTTCAGATTGTAATCACGTTACCTACCTCACAGGTTGACCGCCTTGAGCTCCGTAAGGCACCTTCCCTCTTCTTCCGTGGGGTGCCGTGACACGAGGTGGGGGGGGCACATCAGCCATTCTTCAAAGTCTACCGGGGGTTAAACTTAGGCAGAACAAGAACCAGGCCATGCCAGTTCGAACAGCAGCCCTGCAGGTAATAAATAAATCAGGAACAAATAATGGGCCCGGCGCGTTCAACAGAATATCGATTTCCCCCCGCGCCGTCCTCCTGTTTTATCCTCCCTCCAACAAATTTAAGTGACGTGCAGAGCGTGAAGTGGAAGGCCACGCTGAGCCACGGCATCTTCAGGCGGTGGAAAATCAAAGGCCACCCCTCTCTGCTATTGCCCAACTGCGCGTTGGCCAAAACCCGTAGCTGGGTTCCTGGTTGTCCCTTGCCTTGGGTAAATAAAGCCGATCACACCTGCGGCGCACGTGGCTGGCCTGGCGTGAGAGGAGAGGAGGGCAGGAAGGATTTGGCGGCGAAGTCCGTGGTGTGGTGTAGGCTTTGGGGTGGAGGATGTGCCCGGGGCTGGTGGTGACAGCGTTGCAGTGAGCCCTTCGTGGGGCTCTTTGACAAGAAGCCTCCTTCCTTTCTCCGTGCCACCAGGGAAGGTGGGAATGGAGGGGTGAAACCAGGCCACGGAGTTGCTGGGTCACTTTCCCCGACGGTGCGTGGGAAGGGCTTTCCAGGCCTCAGCACTGGGGTCTGCGCCTGGCTGGAGGGTTTCAGGATGGCACCGTGTTCAAGTGAGGATTGGAGAGGCTGGCTCACAAAAATCAGCTTTTGCTGACCATGTCTATGTCCTCCACGTCCTTTTCCCAGCTCTTCCATTGCTTGTCGTCACAGCTCGCTGGAGCAAACGGGCTCGTTTGGCATCTACCCGGTTGGCTGTGGGGTCTGGCGCTTCTTCAGGGCACAGAGCAGGACCTTGCCAATGCCACCACTGTGACTTGAGCTCCTTCTTTTTCCCACCTCACCTTGGAGGTTCGGTTGAGCTGTATGAGCGAGTAGGGCGTGCAGTGCCATCCCCCCCCTCCCGCCAAAAACGTTCAGGGGGTAGGAGCGGTGCATGGCCTGAAGCCTCCATGAAAAGGGCAGTTTTGCCTCTTGTTTCGGCTAAGAGATGAGTCTGGAGAGCCTCAGGGAAGGTCTCTGATTGCAGAAAAACCCCTCGGAGAACAGCGGCGGTGCAGGGTGCAGGAGCGTGCGTGTCTGCCGGCACGGGCGGGCTGAGCTCACGCCG